CCCTAGCACAAGACATAAAGAAACACAAAACCACCAAGAACCACAGCACGGGGCCAGCTGGAGAACAGACACACAGATCAATGGCAAAGAATCGAGAATCCAGAAATAAACCCGAGTTCCTGAGGCCAACTCATTAGCAACAACGGATCCAAGACCACTCAGCAGGAAGGGTCAGTCCCGCCAACAGCTGGCACTGGACAGGGGACCACCACACCATGCACAAAAACTCAGAACGATCAAGCTACAAAACTCTTGGAGTAAACACAAGGGCAAAGCTTCATGATCTTAGGTTTTGCAGCCATTTCTTTTTCTTTTGTCTTTCTTTGCCATACTGCAGATTGAACCAGGAGCTCACGCATGCCAGGCAAGTGCTCTATCACTGCAGCTATATCCCTAGCCCTTTCCTTCTTTATTTTGAGACAAGTTCTCACTAAGTTACTAAAGCTGGCCTCAAATTTTAGATCATCCTGCCTGAGCCTCCTGAATGGATGGATTATACCTATTCCATTGCTCACGGCCCTTGGCAGCTCCCCCCACCCCCCGTACTGGGGAATGAACTCAGGGCCTACATATTGAGCTACACCCCCAGCCACTTATTATCTATTTATTTATTTAATTAATTTTGAGTCAGGATCTCACTAAACTGCTAAACAGCAGGGCTTGGTGGTGTACACCTGTAATCTCAGCACTCAGGAGGCTGAGGCAGGAGGTTCACCATGAGTTTGAGGCCAGGGGTACATAGTAAGTTCAAGAGCAGCCTGAACTACCTATGGAGACCCTGTCTCAAAAAACAAAGAAAAATTAATTGCTAAATTATCCGGGATGGACTCACATAGCCCTCCTCTCTCACCCTCCCAAGTACATGCAGCTGGGTTTACAAGCATGTTCTATCACATGTTTTATACAGAAATCAACAGCTCAAACTAAAAATAGGTAGGCTGGACAACAAAATAAAAATCTTGGTGCAGCAAAGGACGCTATGCAAAAAGTGAAAGAGAATAAATATTTATCAACATAGCCCAAAAGAGTCATGTATTTAGAATATGTACAGAGCATTTTCAAGTCAACAACAAAAAGATAAACACCTCAGAGTTTTTCTGGTTTTTGTTTTTCTATTTTGTTTTTTTGAGACAGGGTCTCACTATGTAGTTCATGCTAGCTTTGGATTGTCCTGCCTCAGCCTCCTGGGTGCTGGAATTACAGGCATGCTCCATCAAGGCTGGCGACACCTCAGTTTTACAATGGGCCAAGCCAATTAATAAATGAAAAAATGTGCAACATCTATGGTCATTAGAGGAATGCAAATGAAACCAACACTGAGATTCCAACCTTTCTCAGAAATAGCTACCATCAAGAAATCAGATAGCAACGAATGCTGGTGAGGCTACCGGGAGAAGGGTCCCTTTCACACTGTTGGTGAGAGCATAAAGCAGTGCAACCACTGTGGAAATCAGTGTGGGGACTCCTCAGACAACTAAAACTAGAAATTCCATTCACCTCCGCTATTCCTTTTCTAGCTAGGTATCTTCTCCAAAAGAAAGAAAAAACAAAATATTACAGCGATCTGCGCATACTTATGTTTACAGCAGCACAACTCCTAATAGCTAAATCTTGGAAGTGGCCCATATGCCCATCAACAGAGGAATGGATTAAGGAAAAGTGGTATTCACACACCATGGAGTACTAGTCTGTCATAAAGAAGGATAAACCTGAGTCATTTGCAGGAAAATGGATGCACCCTGAGACCATGTTAGGTGAACTAAATCAGTCACATAAACGTAAACGTGGTATAGTTTCTCTCATATGAGAAACTAAAAGCAAAGTAAAAGACAGATAATAGGGAACAGGAAGATAGATCTTTTGCAGATGGGATTGGGGACCAAGAGATGGAGGGAGGGGGAGTAGGGGTGGAAAGGGGATGAAGAAATAACGCAACTGTGCTGTGTGCAGGCACCAAGCCTACACGAGGACCGTGACCAGCACGTACTGCCGCATGGGCCAATAGAAAAGAGAAACTGAAAAAAAGAAAATACAATAAAATGAGCCAAGTACTTGAAAGGAAATTTCTCTAGGAAAGATATACAAATGGCCAAGAAGCAGAAGATAGTCAAAATGATTAGACCAAAGACAATGCGAATCGAGTCACGGTGCAGGGCCATCGCACTCACATTAGGTGGCTGCTATTTTTTAAACTCCAGAAGTGGTTGCTGGCCACAAAGTGGAGCGAGCAGTGCCCTCCCTCGCGCATCGCTGGCAGCCATGAAAAGCGGTGCAACTGCGAGAAAAGTCAGTTCAGTATTTTCTCAAAAGTCAGTTTCCATATGAACCAGCAACTCCACTTTCAAGTACGTGCACAAGAGAACTCGAGACTGACAAGGGCAGGTTCACAGTACTCACAGCAGCCAAAGGGCAAAGAACTAAATGTCCATCAACACAAATGGATAAAGAAAACGAGGACTATTATTCAGCCTTTAAGAAAAAAAAGGGAGTCGAAGCCAGGCATGGTGGCCATGCCTGCTGTCACAGTTACTTTTCTTGTCAGTGAGACAAAATACCTGAAGTTAAAAGTTGAAGGAGGAAAAGGTTTGTTTGGCTCACAGTCTGTAGAGGTTTCAGTTCCTAGTTGGCTCCAAGGCTGGGTGGTTCCAAGGCTGGGTGGTGTGGCACAGGGCATGGCAGAGGAGAAACAGTTCATGGCAAAGCAGGGCAGGGAGAAGGCAGCAGCAGTGAAATAGCAACCAGCAAGCAGTAACAGCAGCTTCTTCTGCCGCTTCTCTATTCCATCGAGGCTACTGGGCTTCTGGTGCATGCCAAAGCAGTCAGTGGACTGCTTTAGTAATCACACACCCTTAGTCCTACCATTGCACCATGAATCAATCCCAGCATCTAACACTCTAGATCCAGCCACCTCTGAAAAGCCCCACCTATGACCGCATGAGGCTTTGGGGGACACTGAGACACAGCCATGACACCTGTAATCTTAGCACTCTGGGAGGCTGAGGCAAGAGGATTTTAAGATCAAGCCCTGTCTGGCAACTAAGCAAGACCCTGTCTCACAATAAAAAAGGGCTGGGGTGTAGCTCAGTGCAAAGACCCTAAGTTCAATCCCTAGAACCACACAAAAAAGGAAATTCTGCCACATGCTACAACCTGCATGAGCCATGGGAACATTATGCTTAACCGAAATAAGCCAAACACATGTGAATAAAAAGTATCCATAGGGACAGAAAGTCAGTGGAAGCCAGTGCTGGGGAAGGACTACCTGCTGGGCACATGGGTTGTGTCTGGGGTACTCCAGATCTAGAGGTGGAGATTACTGAACCACCGAGTGTACCAAACACCACCTGCTGTACACTTTAAAGGGGAGAAATAGTGACCTTCATGTTACATCAATTTGATCCCAACTAAAAAAAAAAAAAAAAAAAAGG